TGTCCTTGAGAACATACATACTCCCTCGTCCGCTATCGCATACTACATACTTGCCTTCTTTGGGAGTATTATGTTCGTTCCTCACACCCCTATCCTGCATTAAAACAATGCGGGTGGGCCTGTGGCCCGGGGGTCTTGACCGACCCTCATGCCCGGGAGAGAGAGAGAGAGAGAGAGAATGACATCACTTTAGGGTTTGTTCGGTGCCTCAGCTATGCCCTTACACGAGTATAAACACCTTAAGCAGTTCAGTTATTTCGTTCCAACCATTCCAATAATGCGGGCCCCCGAAATTGAAATAGTTCGCGCCACCAGTGATTTGAGTTACTTCTGTTGTTTGCAGCCAAACCTTGTCTAATATAGTTGACACAATGAGATAAGGCAGAGTACTGTTTCAACCATTTCAACTTAGGGGGGAAGAATGAAGGTGACAATTCTCTGTCATTGGAACCCCCAAATATTTTTTGAGCCCAGAGGCTCACGACTAGGCATGTCAGTGTGTCAAGACTGTATGTACGTTACGGGTCTCGCACCAAGTCCACGTTCAAGGCGCAACGACGGAGACAGGAGAATGAGTCTTGACAGCTGTCACTCACAATCTCGGTAGGCATCTCAGCATCACACCGTGGAGCACATTGCTTACTGCATACTCGTAGATGTATATGCATATGTATATATATATATATGTATATATATATATATATATGCGTATGCATACATAATGTATGTGTTTGTTTGAATGTTCGCAACATCATGCATATATGGATTAGACATGTACATCCGCACCTGTGTTTATATCGGCACCAGTGTATCGCAAATGCAGGGACATGCGCGACCACATAAATGGATGGTAAAGAGCTAGATAAGAAGATAAATGACATCGTTGGGGTCTTGGGATTTAAAGTCTCTGAGGCGAGTCGCCCTCTGAAGGATTTGTGAACTGGCTACCCGTTTTGTCCTGCTCAGACTTTGGGTTGAAGTTCAGGATCCGACATCTTCTACCAGGTTTTGGGGCTTGTGGGAATCGATCACTTCTTTCAGGGTTCTCCGCAGCACTCGTCCATTTCAAAGTTTTGAAAAAACCGATCACTTCTTTCAAGGGTCTCCACGGCATTCATTCATTTTGAGGTTGGCCAGTTTTGTCAAGCATCTCTTTTGAAGCGTTGGGTTGACAAGTTGAGGAGCCCCTTCTTCCGAGAACATTGGGGTGGGGGTTTGATGCCCTTTTGAATGTATGGTGTTTCAAGTGCAGCGTCCCGAGACTTCTGGACTTAGAGCCTTGGGTTTTCTGGATCCTGCTTGCGTCTAACATCTTGTTTTCCCAGGCTTATGGAATTGCTGCCCATCGTCCCGGTTGAGGTTTGAGGTTTCAGCACCATCTCCTTTCAAGTTTTGGGCTTACCACCCAAACGGCCCGACTAGGGGTTGGGATGTTCGGGACCCATTCACATGACTTTAGGGTCTGCGCACGCCTCACATCTTTGTGAGGTTTATGTCAAGGTTCAACGCCGCCTCCGAAATCGGCTCTGGATCCAGTCAGTCCTTGCAAGGTTTAATCTCTTCCCATCCAGTCTTTCCTTGTCGAGTTTCGAGCTGGCCACCCATCGATTTGCTTCTCTTTTTGGGAACCGGCCTAGCAAAGCATTCGCTTCTTCTAGGGTCTGAGTTTTGGCAGAGGGGTTCCCAGAATCGTCCGTTGGGAGGAAAGTTTATCGGCCGTTGTTGCGTCTTAGCCATGCCATGTTGTGGGTTGTGGTTCTGATCGACGACCTATGAAGAGCATCATATTACTTTACATTCCAACAGATTTACTTTACATTCCAACAGCTTTACTTTACATTCCAATAGATTCTCGAAAGTCCAAAATGTTTCGGCCCATGGGTCTTATCACGGGAAATCTCGTGATCTAGGATTTGGCAAACTTTTTAGCATTGCAAAATAAAGAGTTGGTTGACCGGTTAACCATACACTAAAGGTGCCGGGCTTACATATATATATATATATATATGTTATATACACTCACATACGCACACGCTCACATGCGAATGATGCGGGCAGTTATTGACAGTGCAGGAGGCTGTCAAACATACCTCGTGCCGCATGCTGGCCTAAGGTTTAATCTGCTCACCGTTGTGTTCGTTTGCATCATGCTGCGTCTGGTGCCCAAATGTGCCCGACAATGCGATGGTCGCAGTGAGTATCATACGTCCATGCTGTTCTCTGCAGTTCTCGCCTCCATCGGCTTCACCAACGATGCAAACCGACTTGTGCTGTATCCTGTTGAGAACATGATCGCCAAGGCCGCTGTAGAGCATATTTCGTCAGGAAACACTGTACATGCTGGATCGGAGTTTCCGTGAGACAATGTCCAGGTGGAGACAATCCGGGCTAACCCCTTGGCTGCGATGAAAGTGGCGGACGAGGCCATGTCCTACCTGAGAGCAGCTGCACCATCTAGCACCGAGCCACATTGACTCCTCAGGAGTTCAAGGTCGAGGAAATCAACAGGGCCAAAGCTGCCAAGCAGGACCTTCGAAAAACATGCGGGCGCGGTGCAAAGTGTGCGTTTTTGGATTTCCACGGGGCAAACTGCCCACCGCAGGAGAAAACACGCTGCCAGGCCAAAGCCTTTTGCGATTCTTCTGATTCGCGACTGGCAAGATGAGCTCTGCCCAAATTAGGCACTCTTGGAGTCCATGGGATGCTATTCCAAACGGGAGAACACAGAGATCATGGAGACCGCACCTGGCCCAGACTTTTGCAATCGGTGTACGAACTGCATTCCCGGACTCCTGAGGTCATCTTGGAGAAGACCATCATCAAGCTGGGATCTCTCCTTGCGCTTGGCTTCGGGGAGGCATGCGCAGTCTCGGAGTCTTGGAGAATTCGCCGAAATATGTCGTGCTTGTTGCCTCGCTCAAGGCTGGCGCGAACATCATTGAGCACAATATGCACGGTGTCGACAGCGCCTGTGTCGACGTGAAGCAATCTCGCTTGTGACTGACAGATACTTACAGCTCTTCTTGCCAGATGGTCTCAGTGGACACCTCACTTGCCAGGCCATGGTGGAAGGCACCCGAGTGGAGTGCATCATTGGTGCTACCCGAATACGAGATTTCAGCACTGCAACAGAGGCAGGTTCCAGCTCAATGGCGACGAGACTTGTTTCTGTATCATACGTGTCAGGTTTTGCAAGCCAAAGTGATGACCTTTGTCAACCAGATAGCAGAGGCGAGATTGGCTTGAACTCTGTATCTTGACAGGATATTGTACACTGGCACTGGTCTCAGAAGTCGTCGTGACATCAGATTGTCCACGGGGTCGTCGACGAGTTCCACGGCGCCGCGAACAAAAACAATGGCGTCTCAGCTTCTTCTTGCCATACACACAGGCTTTGTGCCGCAGTGCTCTTGCACAGGTGATACATTCCTGATGATCTGGAGAGTGGCTGGTGACGACGAGAAGGCTGGTCTGGTTTCTTGTGGGATGAGCAGCACGGATGAGAAACGATGCGTCCCCCCGCGCGAACACATACACAACTCAAGCAGTTGTCGTGATGACTGCAGTCGGAAGTAGAGTGATTCTTGTCTACCGCGACGGCAGGTCTCCAAGCTGGCTGACATGTCCATTCTGGCTTTCACCAGGCGAGGCTTCACCAGTCATGTTAGGTCCCGTTAGGTGTGCAGCAATGCCGAAATGGCATCAACATGCCGTCTCTGGTTCAGGATTCTCGGTGCCATCCACAGGACTCCGGTTCTGGCAGCATACCGCGGTTCGGGGCTTTGGCTTTCGAGCCCTTTGCATTCGGTTTCAAGCACATCTACGGCAAGGTCATCCTGGCCTGCAGCAGCGCTTGGGCAAAAATTGCAGGTGTCCTGGCTGCGACTGAGACCCCTCTCAGCTTCGCTGCAATGCAAGCAATGCAAAAAACTCTGGCAGGGTAAACCTCAGCAGTGGCCTTCACTACGGCTGGGCCATCGAAGGCTGGCAGAGACTTCAGTTCCAGACACGATCTAGCTTCAGGCGATCTGTGTGATTCGCAGTCGCAAGGGTGCCAATTGCTTGAGCAGAAGAAGACTTGCAGCTGTTGAGAGGAGCTGTCGGAAGCGAATTCAAGATCGATGCATCATATTTGTCGCCGAATGTACGCCTGCCAAGCTTGTGGAACTATTGCGGAGTTTGTGGGCTTCGAGCACATTCACTCTCGTTCCTGTCAGGTCAGTATAGCCGAGACGGTTGAGCGAGCTACGCAGATCTATGGCGTAAGCTTGCTGGTCCGGATCCAAGGAGAGTGCGAGAGAGCGTCGCCAGGAGGCTCTGCTCTGCTCGCCGCTGCTTAGCAGAGTTGCGCCGCTGGGTTTCTCTGAGGTGGCAGAGTCAGTGGTCTCCATTTGCTCAGCGCCCATGGCCGCCAAGTGCCGGCTCATCGACCGGGTCATCATTACCGGGCCCGGGCTTCGAAAATCAGAGAGATTCCGAGAGCAGCTCTTCGACTTCATTCTTGGGTTTCTGAGGTCCGTGGTCCCCATGGACCTTTATGTGATTGACCTGGACTACATGAGCCTTACGGCCTTGGGGCCCAGAGGGGCCCAGAGGGGCCCAGGCATGTCCATGAAGGGTCGGGGTATCGGAGTGTATCCCAGCCCCCCGAGGTGGAGCCGCCTTTGGGGCCCCAGCGCTGGACCACCAAAGACCGGTTCAAGGCACAGAGAAGCACAGCTAGGAGGGCGAGCCCAAGGACTCAAGGGCTCTTGGGAGTGTTCAACTTGTCGGGAAGGTGAGACAATTTCTCGAAAACGAGAAAGATCAGAAGCTGGCAGACGGCGTGGCTCGGCTTTGCGAAACTTTGTCGTGAGTGGTCTTGAGTTTTCACCTTGGGCAATTAATATGTGCCACACCTAAGTATTTGAGCCCAGCGGTGCAATGTTCTGCTTCCACACGCGCTGTCGTCATCCTCAAACTCTCCTGCTGCGACACTGCGCACACACACACAGACGGCAGTCATGACACGAGCAGATGGTAAACCGGAGCAGCGACACGACGGCTGGATTTATGAAGAATGCTGTGCAGAGAGATGCTCATGCATGAGTGTCACGTACATGACATGACTGTTGGACGTCCTCCGGACATTGCGATTTGGTTCCTGGCGCTGCTCTCCCTTCTGGCAGCTAAGTGCCGCAGTAAGAAGGAGCCCGTGGCAGCCACAGACAGCCTCGTTCCGCTGATGAGGTGAAAATGGTGAACCTCTTCAACGAGAATGCAGGCAGCCGCCGAGTTTACGTGGCTCGCAGATGGTTATTTCCAAGCCTGAGCTTGCTGGAATCAACAATGCCCGTATGTCAAGTCACGCGTGGTGTTTGACTTCCGACCATTCAACATTCGCGACTGTTTGCAGATATCGCTTCTATGCGCTTCCGATACACGCTGGAGTTCATTCATGCTCGGACCCAAGACTCAAGACCTCCCGTCGTTAGCGCAAAGGTCCCAACTGCCGCATGCAAAATTCGCCGCCTAAAGAGATTGGCCAGCATGCACGCACTCCTGTCAAACTTTGCGTGGGAGGTTCCTTTGGTATTGCTCATAGAAGCTTGCTGAAGAAACTGGCTTCTGCCGCTGACGAGGTCTTCAACATGGGCTACCAGAATTACTCGCAGGGAGAGTGGCAGGCGAGTAGCGGTCTTTCAAGCGTGCTGCATTTTCTGAATGTGACCGACGCGCTTTTTCCTTATCTGCACCGGTCAGGTGGCACAACGGATGTTAGCTCGCACGAGAGACATGCTCGGAGTGGAGGACTGTTGTTGTAGCACAGCCGCGCCCTCGTAGTCGCTCCTACTCGACACCTGGGGAAAGCAGTGTTTTGTGTGTCTCATTTCTGACAGCATGCTTTTGCCACTAGGACGGGCCAAGCATCGCCTTGTTGAAGTTCATGGAGCGAACAGGCTTCGAGGCTGTCCGGTGCCTTCACCTTTAGCAGAAGGTTGCACCCGTGACAGCTCGTGGCAGGCTCCAGACAACTGGATGGGTATTCGCGATCTTGGCTTGCTTCCCAGACTTTAGGCAGACCCAGAATGCTGCTACAAGGTGTGTGTGTGTGTGTGTTTCTTGTGAGACTTGGATCTGTGTGCAGCCTTGAGGCCATGCTTCGCTGTCCTAAATCAGGGCGTCTGAGGTGGACTCTTTTCCTTCGAGCGAGCACATATGTGCTGTTTGCATTGAAACTCTTCAAGTATCTAAGCTTCTGCAGATTAGGAAGGAAAGTGGCACGACAAGGACCTGCTCACGTTCGGTTTCACATGCCCACTGCAAAACGCAGACTGGTCCAATGGTTGCTAGTAGTTGGTCGCGATGGCAGCAAAGACAGCCCCAGAAGTCTGGTAGTCTCTTTGTTCTGCGGCAACATATGAGAGAAATTTTCCCAGCTGCCGGCGTGATGCAGAACAGGAGTTACAGCGAGCGACGCTTGTAAACAAACTACTGGCGGCAAGCAAAAGTGCTTCCGCCATGGCTGCAGCGAGCAGGCTTACACAGAGCACACACCTTGATATCTACACCGTAGGGCAAGAGAATTCTGCAGACTGCAAGCCCACGTTCTCGGAGGCACATCGCAAAGCGTTCGTGCTTTCATTTTCCCGATTATTGTTGTGCTGGCAACAAAGACAGTCAAGCCGGCGGTATCTTGTGCAGCAGAGGGTCAGCGATCACTGTAGGTTAGCCCCTCAGCTGCTGTCGACCAGGTCACTACAGAAGGCTCACAGCCCACTCGTCGCGCCAAACATGATGGAGGCAGGGAGTGGAGAAAGGCTTCTGCTGTGATTTCGCTTTCAGGATGTTGTCCTCCCCATGTTGCTTGATGCACAGTGTTATATCATACTGTACTGGTTGAGTTGCGGCAAGAGGCGTTTCACCTTGGAAGCACGCTCCGTTGAGTGTGGATGTGACAATGAGGGGGGCTTTTGAGGGTTGTTTCCGGAATCGATGCCCTCCGTGCATTTCAGCCCATGTTGAGCGTGGATGGGTGTGGGGGGTTGGTTCGTGGGGCTGGTTTGCTCTTGCTTCGCCTTTTTGGGCGAGGGTTTCGGCACACTCTCGCCGGAATTCTGGTGACTTTTAAGGCCCAGTCATGGATTTGCGACGAGGACGACGACGACTTCGACTACGACGAGTATAAAAGCACCACAGCCACAACCCAATCAATACACGAGCGAATAACGACCACCACGACGATAACCGAAGCAGCAACGACGACAGGAGCAAGTTTCAAACATTGAAATACTTGAATTTCAAGTATTTCAATTCTCAGGGTGCGTTTGATGTTTGCAATATTTGAAATGGGGCCGGTTTCGAATTTTTCATTGATTTGAAATGAGGGGGGTTTGGGGTTGTGGTGGGATAAGGATAACGGGGAAGGAGAATTGAGGGCGAACCAGACGTGGCGAGACCAAAAAATACTGCCAGCTTTTGTCAGTGCGATCACATGTTCATGTCCGCGTGTTTTGTTTAGAGGGTGGGACGCCCTCGGGCCCCCATATTTACAGCGTTTTCGCATGTTTTAGAACGAAAATCGCCTTTGAAATAGAAGGATGGTATAACACTTGTAAATGCACTGCACTCANNTACGTCAATGGTTTCTGTCATTCCATGTACCAGACCTTTCCTTAGCGGTCTTTTGGTTGGCTCTTTAGACGTTAACTTTTTGGGTTTCTATATGAACTATAATATCTAGGCTAAAAGTTTAACTTTTAGGAGGGGTTCAGAAGTACGCCAAGTTTCCTTGGAAGCATTTTTGCAGTAATCGAAAATATCACCTATGTTGATAACAATGAAAGATGACAAAGGAACAGATGTACTCGTGCCACAAGAGTGTGAAATATCCCCACACTGCGTCCAGAAGATGTGGTCTCAGCATACCGCCATATATGATAGCTTAGAGCCATGTCTTTGCATGTGGTGTACCGTATATCATTCAACTACCCCAGTGAAAATAATATTGTTTATGGAACTTGCACGTCAACGTGTATGTGACTCTTATGCAAATCAATGCCACAGTCTGGGCCAAA